CCAGCCTGTACTGGTGTCTGGGGTTATTCCTCCCCAGGTGCAGGACCTTGCACTTGGCCTTGTTGAATTGCATGAGGTTTCTCACCACCCTGTTGTCCAGGTCCCTCTGGATGGCAGCGCAGCCCTCTGGGGTATCAGATACTCCTCCCAGTTTGATATCATTAGCAATCTTGCTGAGGGAGCGCTTTGTGCCTTCATCCAGGTCATTGATGAATAAACTGAACAGGCCTGAACCAAGGCCTGACCCCTGGGGGACCCCGCTAGCTACAGGCCTCCAACTAGACTCTGCACCACTGGTCACCACCCTCTGGGCTCTGCCATCCAGCCCAGTTAATCCACCTTAACTCCCTCCACAGTGTCTCTCGCATTACCCTGCCTTTTAACCCTTACCCACAAGCTCTCAGCTCACCCATCATCCAGCCCCAGGTTGAGCTCCATCTCTTCCAGTTGCTCTCTCACATAAAGAACAACTCCACCACCTCGCCTTCCCAGCCTGTCCTTCCTGAAGAGCACATAGCCCTCCATGACAGCACTCCAGTCGTGTGAGCTGTCCCACCACGTCTCTGTGATTCCAATGAGAGTCACCCCAGGCTTTCTGGTGGATGCTGTCTGTGGTGTAGAGACTCTGGCTATCACACCTGAATTACCACTGATAGAAGAGGCTGTGGGGAGAGCTCTCTTCCTGCGCCAGGAGGAGACTCCCTGCACCCTGCGTGCCCCTCCTGCCTGCATGAACTGCCATACTAACTGCCCCACGCTCTCCTTTTAAGGCTTTTAAAGGGTTTTAATGTTTTTAAGGGAAAGAACTTGCCCAGAGCTCTATACCTTGCTTCAGTATTAATTGTGATTCATTGTGATACTGAAGGCCCAACTCAGCCTTCCAGCCCCCCACCTCAAACACCAGTTCTCTAAACCCTAAGTCACGGAAAGTGAATGAACATGATCTACAGCTAACCCGATAGCCCTTAAAATAAGACAGGGAACCATGTATTTGTAAAAAAAAAAAAAAAAATTTATAAAAAAGTCACTCCACTGTATCTCAACTGTTGCTGTCTGCCACAGTGCTTTCTAACCAAAGGAAGAGTTGTGCAGTCCAGTTCCAGTGTTAAACTGAGTGACAGCTCCTGGAGGTCTTGTACCTTGATAGACTTGCTACCTGTTCTTAAGGAGGCAGATGTTCTTTTAACAGTTGTAGAAGGAAGCAGTTTTAGCCCAGCTCTGCTAGGCTGAGGTCAGAGTAGATGGTTTCTTCTGTTGTTACCAAGCCGGACCACGTCTGGGCTGTAGCTCTGCTGTCTGTGCAGCTTGGAACAGAGTAGTGAGGCTTAAGTTAGAGCTTTCAAGAAATATTACCTGCCCTTAGTGCAGAGCTGCCTCCGCTTCTAGTGTTCAAGTGGTGGTTGTGCTTTCCTTGAGGACACACATTTGAGAAGAGCAAGGAAGACTGTGCAAGACAGGAAATGAAGTCAAGGCACTGGCTGGAGCAGGCAGTTTAACCTCTCGTCCAGCATCTAACAGTTCACAGAGCTCATGTTACTGCTTGCTCAGGCAGTGAAGCTTTAAGGCACAGAAGGGCAGTTTTTCAGGTGAGGGGAACACATGGCAACTAGGGCCTGAGGCAAATGGGACTAAAACCATGCGAGAGGTAGGTTAAGGAAAAAAAACAAAACAACAACACACACACACACAAACACACACACACACACACACACACACACCACAATAGACCTGCAGAGAGCCTTCATATACCTCTTGATTCTATCCATTAAAAAACCCCTTAGATCAGTGCAGCAAGTGGTATATACATGGAAAGCACCAGCTGAGTAAGATAGCACCTGTCAGGAAGAATAAGGTAACAGCCTCAAAAAGGTCTTTCAAGTGGAAGACTTCAAGCATAGAGTGACATCCAGTAACCTGGGAACCAAAGCTGCATCTTTAAAAACCAGGGCCAGGCCTCACAGCAAAGTGAGGGATGTGACAGGTACTTTGCTATCAAGGATTAACTGGTGAGGCATGATAAGGAACTGCAAATTTCATACACAAAGAAGGGTCTTAATTTGCATAGGATCAGGTCATAGGGAATACATTAAAAAGGGCAGCTATCAAGAAAGGAAATGGCCCAGAAGTGAGCTACAGAAGCACAGGATAGGTTTGCAGACCATGATAGGCATAGACAAAGCTGGCAGGAGGGGGAACGTGGTGGAGGTATTGACAGTTACTCACTACCACCTTGCATGACTATGCAGAAATACTGTTTCCAGGGACCCTCTAGAAGTAAACAGCCTGAAATCAGAGACCCAAGTTCACCCTTTCTTCGCTGTGTTCTGCAATGTTTTTTCGCTTGACTTGTCTTCTGTCGCACTTGCCCTGGTTGGGCCTAGCACTGACCGACTGTAAATGTGATTTCAAGTAATGAGGCTGGCACGGCCCCTTGTTTGTGGCACTGCCAAGGGACAGCGCTGAGGTAGTTCTGAGAGGTACTCCAAAGCTGCCTTCTACAGAAGATGTAGGACTGGTGCTGTTGACAGAGGAGTAGCCTGAGCTCCCTTCTAGGTTAGGATTTCTTGGGGTGAGATATGCTGGAAGAACACAGCTCTCATGGGACAGCTGAGCCTCGCTCGGTGGCACCGTGTGCTCACACCAGCCTGTGGCTGCGTTATCTTCGTCACTGGAGTCTTGACAGCAGTGGTCAGCTGGATTCACATAGACCACGGTCACATCCAAGATACCACTGGGAGCTGTCACTGCAGGATGGTGAAAGCAAAGGTTAGTGTGATGCAAATCGAAGACAAGACAATGAGCATAGAGTAAGAACCGAAATGAAGACCTTATATAGCCTGAAGGCTATTTATATGTAAAGGGGAGGCGGCACAGCTATCTTTCTCCTTTTTTTAAACGGGGACATTCCCTCTTTGAGGGAATACTGTTGTCCATCAACAGTTTTCACAGTGAAAAGTCAATCACAGTGTTGGAAAACAAGCAGGTAACAGCATTCACTACATCACTGGTCATGGGCAAAAATCCCTGCAGCAGAACCATCCAGTGTAGTGTCAATTAATGCTCTTAATTCAGAGTTTGGTCTTCTGTCACAGCAATACCTGAACACAGTCTCACTCTGAATCTCTAAACACCTACAAAATCCTTCATCATGTTCTGAAACAGTATGATAAGAAGGGATATGTACCTCAAACAACTTAAGACCACTGTAGAAGCAAAGTCTTTTTCCAAAGTGGTCTTCCTCTGCAAGTTACCCAAAGAAATAATTTTAAGGAAAGAGATAGCTACATTATTTTAATTCCCTCATTTGCTTTCTGTAAGGAGAAAGAAACCCTCACCATCTCCATCTTTCTCGCCTTCGCTTTCCTGATCCCCTTCATAACCAGAACAGGAGTCTAAGCTCCAGTCTAGGAAGTTGTCTAGGAGACTTTCTTCCTGGTTGGAGAGCTCAGCTGTTGGTGTAGTCACAAAGCTGCCTCTGTCATCCTGAAAGCTGTCTTCCCTCCTCCTGTAGCACGAGAAAAAAAACAAAATCCAGAAGTCACAGATTGAAAGATAAGTATCCTTTTCCAGCTCTTTTAGAAGGTATTCCAGTTAAGAATCAGAAGATGAAGATCAGAAGAATTGATTATGTTTTAGAACAGAAGTTCAGAACACCAGAGAAGAGGAAAGCCTCATACTAATCTTCCTAGACGTTAGCAGTAATGAATTTATACTAGCCTTTTAGTTCTCTTTCCAGAGGGAGAACTAAGGAAAGTCTGAATTTCCACCATATTTGTGTGCATGGGGTTGGGCTCCGGGTCCTCCTGCTTCACACCCAATAACGAACACAGCTGGCTGTAGCTCATCATCTTATAAATAAACAAATAAAAAACAGTCAGTAAAGCAGATCATGCAATTCCCCTTTTCAGAAGGGTCCTGTTTCTCTATCCCCCCCGCCCTAGAAAAATACATCACAGCAAGTTCTTGTACTCAACTCCACATGTACTCAACTATCCTCAAGTCCCAGCAGATAAGTTTAAAAACCAGTGCTTGATTTCTATGTTCTCTCCTCCCTAAAAATCTAAAGTTAACAGTTACTTCGCTCTTACTCTGTTTTGTATATCCTGCCACACAGCTAGTTTTGCTCTGAATGTCAAGCATCACCAAATGAAGAGCAAGAACTCACCTTTTCTTTACCTATTTCTTCATAACGTTCATCTTCAAATCGTTGTTTCACCGCTGTTAGAGACACCTGCCTATAATCCTTTGGGACATCATCGTGGAAACTAGAAAGAAAGAATAAACCCCCAGTCTGAGAATGGATTACATGAAACCATGCTGACGACACCTGCCAACTTGGAAGAGTTGGCTTCCAAACATTCACATGCCCTCCCAAAAGGATTCCAAAGGTCTTACCATTTTTGGTGGAGGCTTAGCACACACGGCAGCAGGTCTTCGAGAGAGAAACCAGTGCACTCAGACAGCTGGCTTGTCCAGGGATGTGCTGGAGAAGAGAGTACACACTATCATTTTGAGAAGCTTGGTAGTTGTGCAATCACACAGATTTTTTAAGATGTGATAAAAATCACAATCATCTACAAACTTATGCCTATAAACAGCTCATTCAAAATTAAAATCAGCTCCATGAATACCATTGTCTGTCAAAGTGAAGTTGAGGCTAGCTATTTTGTCTATATTGTAGAATTAGTAGCAGAAACCTTCATTCCTATTTAAACACCTTGGTGCTGTACCACACTAACACTTTTGTTCTTCATAACTGTAATGAGGGAAAAATCAGGTGAACTCCTCTCTGCACTCTCAAGTCTCATACCCAGGCCGCTCACCTTCCCTCCCTCCAAGGAAGGGGACATCTTGCCAAGGAAGCAGGCAAGAGCGGCTCCCGAGGCAGGAGGCAGTTCCTTACCCTGCTTGTGCAGCACCCTGGCCAGGAGCAGCGCCGCCGCAGCCAGGCGCGCCGGGGAGTACACGCAGAGGCCTTTGACAGCTCTCAGATGAAGCTGCACAGGTGAAGGGTTCTTCTCTCCAGAGAGACTATGTGTGACAACACTTCTACGTAGTCCACGACAGTAGGCATCTAACACATAAAGGAGAACAGAAGTTGGCAAAATGATTAAGCACCAAGTATTAACAACACAGCTGTTCCCAGCAGACCCTCTTTTCATTACCTTAAGTTTTTTTTTTTGTTTGTTTTTTTAAATATGACCTCTCAACTTAAGTTTTAATCTCTACACAAAGAGAGATAGTTTTGCACCAGCAGGCTTTTAAGTCTCCACAGCTTATTGAGAACAGTTCCATCAAAAATATTTTAAATGTTATTATAGAGCAGGAAGTGATCCACATTTCACTGCTAACGACAACAGTGCAGTTGTTTCAGCAGTGACCAAAGGGGCCCATCCTCTTTCCAAACTCACCCTTATTTTTCCTTCTAGGGCAGAAATGATTTCGCCCATCATTCTGACAAGGTCTTCATATTTGTATGTGTTGTCCGTTAGCCACACGGCTTCCCGTATCGTCAAGATCTCTTTGCTAACAAAACTGCAATATTAAATATCATTAACAATTGCCCCCACAAGAACCTGAATGCACATGTGTGCACTGATTTCTTGTGAGGGCAAACAAATACATCCAAGATGACCAAAGAGTTAAACAGCTTCATAAAATACTTGCTAAAGTCATGGATCTGGTACAAACCAGGAAAAAAGGAATAGCAGCTCTTTATTTTACATCTAAGCTGAAACCAGATATTAGAACATTTCTAATTCATCACATTTAGAAAACCTCTACTAGGTTAAGATGATTTTTGGATATCAAGAAGATAAAGGAACTAATACAGAAAAATTATATTCCACCACACCATGCTCGTTTATTCCTGTAAAGTGCAGGCATTTGAGTACAAGAGACCAAACTGGGTAACAACACTGCTGCAGTTGTTTCCTACAGGATTATTCATGCCAATACTGTGTGAAAGACTTTAGTTGATGATGGAAGGCAACTAGATTAGCTGATTGATTTAGACCTCCTCCCTGCAACAGTCTTTTTTTCCCCTCCTCATATTCAAATGATATTTTTTTGCCTGCCATTTGCAGAGATCAGGCAAGTTTGTATGTGACCCCCATTTAAGCAGCAGTCAATGTAAAGATAAGCCAGGGGGTCTTTCCAGTACTACTATTCACATGTGGGCAGGAAGCTAAAGTGCACAAGTGAATTTGAGGGATCATAGCAACGGTCCATGACCATCGGTCACAATCCTTACCGTGTGCAAATAACCATGCAGGCAATGCCCAGAAGCTGGAGTCGAGCTCGGGGTACAGGTCTCAGCTTCAAGTAACGGTCCACACATCCCACTGTCATGTGAAGGCAGAGGCTAGAGAAGTCTTTCATGGTGGCCACTTCTACCAACCAGTCAATCAGGATGTACCTGCACAGGCAAAAGAGAATCTGCCAGGTTAGAAGGTGTTCAGATCTGGGCTGAACCTTCTCCCCATACCAGGCCCTTCTGCACTGAAGGCTTCCAAACCAGGAAATTGCACCAAAAGATTTCAGAAAAGCTTCACATTACATAGAGATAAGGGTTTGCAGCCAGAGGCTTGTTGTTCTGTTAGAATCCAATGGACCTGTTAAGTAGCTTGTGAAATTAATTTAAAAGGAAATAGTCAAGGCATATAAATCAGGAGGCTAAAGCCCACTAATCTAGAAAATGGAAGACTAACTATAGCTGGATTTGAGTTTTTACCTCATTGTTTCATTCATTCCTTTCTGCACAGTGAAGATACTTTGCTTGCTGACAGGCATGGAGGCTTGAAAGATCTGGGATACCAGTTCATTGGAAGATTTCGCTTCTAATCCTGGTTGGTTTCCATTCCCACAAGCTTTAGCTAAAGCTATCTGTAGCAGACAGAATACAGAAGAAAATGCGTTTACCAAACACATGCAATTTTGCAATTCCTGCAATTTTGCTGCTGAAAATGGAAGCAGCTGTCATGAAAAGCAACTTGAAAGTAAGAAATGCCTATTTCCTTGTCTGACTTAAAGGCTGAACAAGGTGCTCATTTTGGGGGGTAGGCCTTTAATTCTAGCAGAAAATGGATCCTTGCTCAGATTGTAGAACACAAATGCAGCATTTTGAGAACAGGGGGAGTTGCAGAGAACACATCCACACATCCCCACACACATTATTTGGTAATTTTGACTCTGTATCTAACAGGAGGAGTCTGTACTCACAAAAGCACGTAAGAGACCAAAGTCCGACAGCTTTCCTGGAAAGGTCAATCTTACCTGTGCTTCCCAGCAGCCCTTTGCTGCATAGTCCCTTAGCTTCCTGAGGCTTTGCAGGTATCTGCCAGGATCTGACATCTAAGGAGAGAAATATAAATGGATTTTAAAAACCCATTACCTTTACAAAGGAAATGGAAGGTTTGCAAATACTCCTTTCCATAGGAAAAACATTGCTGGCGGTTACACTTATTGCAGCAACCAGTCTTCTTCTCATTGTGAGGCCAACTTTAAGAAACTTGCTTCAAGTCTCGTCCGAGGTCTCACAGGAGATGATGAAGGCCATTCAGGATAGCAATATATTTATAAAACGGCCACGTGGGCAGTCTCCTTGCTCCCACTCCCAAGTGGGCAACCTGATTACTAGCCAGTGGTGACTTTGCTTTCACCACGCTTGGCATAAAGCTTCTGCTTACTCCTGAGCTACAACTGCTCATGGACTCGCTTATTTTAAACACGAAGGCAAATATTAAGACTCATTTTTGAGAGTTCTTAGTGCTCTCCTTGTTTATGAGGCAGGGAACCTAAAAGAAAGAGCAACGTCTTTCTGCAGTTGTTTATCACACATGGAGGTCCAGACATTACAGTAGAAAGTGTTGTTTTGAGACCAATAGACAATTACTTACAGCAGCCTTTTTGTTGCTTTCCCAAAGGAGGTAGGAGCTGTTTAAACAACCCTGCTTTGAAGATTCTTCAAACATTTCAAGGGATTCTTTTCTTTTTTCTTCATCCTAAGGGGAGAGGAGGAAAAACAAAACAAAATAAACAAACAAACAAACCCACATGATGATATTTATTTTGTCCAGCTGACTGGATGCCAGACCTCAGAATTTCAGCAGTTGCAGAACAGCACCACACTAAGAGCTACAGTACAGTAGCTAGGAACTGCAAGCCCCTTCCAGACTATACAAGGTGCTACCAGGTTCATGAATTAGTTGGTAATTTTCCTCAGCTAGTTGCAAGCTATTTGGGTTGCTCACCACTGAAGGCCATTTATTTTGATGAACATGAAGGCTGTAAGACTTCTTTTGAGGCCTGACCACAGTACTAGCCCACAATAGGCCAAAATTAATTTTAGTTCTTGTAAACAGAAGAAACTGAGTTGCTAACATTTCTTTGAAAAAGTATGTATCATATACTCTTCAGCCCAGAAATTCCTAAGCCACTCGAGCAACACAAGAACATTTGTTTAACTTCTAATCAAACAGAATTAGCACTACCAGAAAAAGTCATTTTCAGAATTGCCAGAGACGACAAATCAGAAACATTGCTCACCTCAAACAGATTTAAGACCTTAGCCAGGCAGTGGAGGATAGATCCTTTTTGAACCTGAAAAAGGAAACAAAACATAAAAATAAAGCTTCATTAAGGAGAAACAAGGAATACTTTTTAAAAACAACCAATTCCTCACTATACTTCTTTGCCTTTCATTGTTCCGCCTCCTTACTTTCCTCGACATTTTGTCATCTTTGAGATAAAACAGAATCTCAGTACAGGTCTTTGGCACTCACAACATACCGAGCGTAGCCTGGCTGCAAACCCATTAAAACAACTGATTCGTGGCGATTTAAGCATTTAGGGCACAAGAGCTCCACGGCAGACAGGAATATTTTTTCCAGAAGAATTTGGAGAAGCTGCTGCACTATTTTGAAGTCAAGAGCAGAAGAAGCCTTACCTTATCCAGCTGACATTCTGCTTTGAGACTTTCATAGACCACAGCTTTGCAACAGCTTCCACTGAGGGACCAGGGAGGACGGATGAAGAGCCAGACGAACGGGGCGGCGCGCATGTTCAGGCGCTCCGTCAGGCTGAAGAAATGCGACGCCTTCAACCCGTTCACTTCTGCGCGACCCTCGTCGGAGATGGACACTGAGAAATTGGTCAGGCCAAACAGTCAGTCACCACAAACCATGAGATGCCATCAGGAAAAGGCTGAACAGGGAATTCCCTTCAGAGTTTTAGACTCAAGGAGATGACAACATAAGAAAGGTTTTGCTACAGTCAGTCTACGGCAATGCACAGCCTGAGAGCAACAGGCAAATATCAATATCCCGAGCAATGTTAATCCCTATGAGCACACCAACAAAATGGCCTGCAAGGCACCTGTCTTGCCAAAACCCTCAGCAAGAGGAGTCCTCCCATCAGCATTAATCCCTTCGGCCACATTTAACTCTAACAAACTAGGCGGCTGCTCAAGTCTGATCAGAAGTTTTCCAAGCATAACTTGAAAATGTGAGTACATAAGCTATGCATTAACTAATTGCGTATTTCTAGTACACACACACTTTTGCAGCATAACAACATTTAACAGGATTAACAAAAGGTTAGGGCCAATGCCAAAATTTGACTGAAAGATAAAAGCAGAGGAAGGCTCATCACACACTGAAAAAGGCTGAAACACTGAAAATCGACTGCACTTTTTTCTCTAGAAGCTGGGTACACAGGCATCAGTGCTCAAGGCACAGGAGAAAACTTTGCAGGCAGCCAATAAAAAAGCCAACTTTTTGCCTCAACAATTGATCTACAGCTAAAAATAAGCCTTGAATTCATCCACCCTTCCACCTTTCCCCAGAGCCCAAGCACTTGCATACTTACAGCCTTCGTTGTACAAGTATGCTATGCCCAGCTTCACAGCAGCTTCAAAGTTACCCTTTTCAGCAGCCCTAAATTGGGATACAGGGAGGACACGTCAGGTTTAAGTCAATAAGTACTCTTAGACCCTCATCCTTACGCTAGTTACGACAGTACAAGCCAGGCTGGGATTTTGATGCAGCGTAACAAACACCCTCCATCCAAACCCACCCGCACGTGTGCGTCTGCCATGGAAGCTGCAGCAAGAAAAGCCAGGGCACAATTTATACCCAGCTCTTGGATTTGCCCATTTCCAGAACAATTTGACAACTCTACAGGAACCATTTTCCAATCCCATGCAATGTCCCCAGTGACAGAATGTGGTCGTTTTGGTATTTGCACTCAGGCTGATCTTTTAGAAAGATTAAACATGCGTCATAGCAGAGATAACAATAAGAAGCAACGCAATTGGCATGACATTAAAAGTGACCCCTACTCTTCAAAACAGAGACAAACACACACTCTCCTTTGCTTTTAACCAGATTATTATCTACAGAAACTCCACTCTTAATATTGATGTTTACCAATTTTTCATTAGGTAAAAATTTTTATTCACAGGAAGTGGCTAAATAAACTAAGACTTAGAAATATAGTTATATTCCAGATATGCATAGATTTTCATATGGAAATAGGCTCCAAGAGCATCAATAACACAGGTTTTAGTTAATAAACTACATTCCACCATAAGATGTTACCACATTTCAAGAGAAATTACACTTTGGTAGATACAACAGGCTGTGCTCCAGTTAAAAAGACAACAGTTCCCATGTGCATGAGACATGAACTCAACAAGCCCTCATCACAGCAAGCAAAGACTTCTCCAACTAAGAAAAGACAGTCAGATCCCCCACACAGAGTAGAAAGCGACTCACATTGGATACCTAGCTTGACACATCCTCCTCTACCACCATGGACACAGAGTGATTCTTAAAGTCTTACCTTTCAAACATCTTCAGATTGTTGGGAGAAGGCCATATTTCTTGGAAGCTCGCACAGGCCCAAACACTAGCATGATTATCCACAAGGTATCTGAGATGCGAGTGTACCTGTGCAAAGCAATTACACAAATAAGGGATCAACAGAATCAGTTGTTTTGTTGATCAGTTCTTCAGCAGTCTAATTTTATACAGGGAGTGTGTTAACCGCAAGTAAATTACTGTTGTTTTTCTGCCCAACCTTGACTAAGGCAAGAGCTGCCAAATTGAATTATACTTCTCATGTAAGTGACCTGGCAGAAGAACTTGCACAGCAAACCTCCAGAGAACACTCCAATACGGCTGCTTATCTTCTTAAACTTGAGGTGAGATACAAAAACTGATATGAGGAGCCAGCTTTTCCCATATCCCATCCTGGCACCTTTGGCCAGCCCTAAACTGCTGTGTATTACAGGGGAGAAGCTGTTGGAGGACTCACGGCTCTGACTGAGAGGATGTCCTCAGCACGAAAGCCCTTCAGCACAAGTTTCAGAACATGGAACAGAACATCTTCCGGCAGACTCAGCAACGTCAGGACTCGGGGCCGTTTTCTTACCCTTCGCTTTGAAGGGAAAGAAAAGCACCTGGAGCATCGACAGTGAATTACTGGAAAAGGAAAAAAAAAAATCTCAGTTAGCCCTGAAACAACATGAGGAAAATAAGATGCCATAGAGTATACATGTACATAAGCACGTAGATGGGTGGCATTACTGTACTTATTCTACTACAGCATAGGGCACCACTTACTCAGAGTTCAAAGATAAATACATTTAGCAGGAAGTGAATGATTTAGTAGTTTTAGCTATGAGAAAGCGAATTTTATTTTAATGAAGCCAAGAGGCTCAGAAGGGATGACTTGGGCAATCCAGCTCGCGTCCTCTCCACCGAGCAGAGCCCCTCCAGTAATCCAAGCCCATCCTTTTCATGATTTGGGTTAGACTGACACTTCATTCATCTTGCCACATCCAGATTTTCCCTTCTCAACTGAGGGTAGTCTTTAAAATGTGACCAAAGAGATCAGGAGCCCAGGACTTGCCACAAGTCTTAAGAAACTCAGGGGGTCAAGAGAAAAGCTCATCTTCCTAAGAGGCCACTTGTCTGCCATGGACTCTTACAGAAGATGCCAAACGAGGACATTTTGTGATATTTTAGCACCTCTTGGCATTCGGAAACCAAAGCATTGCCTACATCTTCCATACCTGTTGGGGCAGCATTATGGCACCCTCAATGCATTAGACTACCTAGCATGAGACCAAACTGAGCAAAGCAGGCGAGTTGTTCTCACTGAGGACACACGCCGTGGTAGAAAGCCTGGTTCTTTCCCACCTTATTGGTTGGGCAGAAGGACCCCCTCAGCCTCGCTGTTATTTCATGCTCTGCCTCCTCTCACAGCTCTGTCAAGCAGTGCTGAAATCCTGGGCTGCTACATTTGTAGGAGATGGACATTGGAAGGAGCAGCAACCCACCCAAGGCAGAGCTCTGGAGTGCAGCCCGTGCACGCAAGGGAGGCAGGTCCATGGCCCAGACAGAAGAGGGCAGGCACGAGGGCTCGGGAAACCCCTTCTGAAGCCCAAGTTTCAGCCCCACAAGACTGGGGACCCCGGCAGAGCCTTTGCTAAGGAAGGCTTCTGGCTTGTATTTTTTCAAGTTGGGCTTCAAAGCCCTATACAGAAAAGCCTGTATTTGGGAAGTGTAATTGATGGCCTTCTAAAACACTCTTCCACGAGGTCAAAGGGAACATACTACTGGGAATGCTGTGCGACCTAGTGCAACTCTCTGAGCCTTTTCCTAGAGCTTGGATGGAAGGCTGGAGAAACAAGAAGTTGCGTCTGTCTTTGAGGAGAACAGAGCACGCTACCAGCTGTAGATGCAATAAGCAGAAAGATGCACCGACCGGCCGGGTCTCCGAGCGTGCCAGACCCATGGAGCTGGGAAGCACCTGGGTTTATGGGCTGCATAGCCAACATGGAGACTACAGGTGATTTGCTCGGAGAAGAGCGGCTGCATCTACCTCAATTCCTTTCTGTGGCTTTTTGGGTCAGCAAAGTTGAGTTTAACCTGGCTTTTCAGTGGGATTCCTCGGAAGATCCTGCAGATTCCCATAAGCAACGGCCAGGAAGCCACTGAGCTCGTCTGAGTCTATACACACACTACTGACTGCCTCGGCCTTCGGCTTTAGTGGGACGAGCCACCACACCGAGACATCAGAGCGCTCAGCACCCACCCCCTGCCTCAATAACAGACCTTTACCACAAAAAGCAGCTTTTTGACGGCTGCGGGGAAGACTTCTGCTCTCCTCCGCACCCCCTTCGCATTCCTGGGGCCAAGGGCAGCTCCGCCCCTGCGGGGAAGGAGGGCGGCCGCGGCGGCG